ATGTAAGAGTAGGATTAAGTAAATAGAAACATTGAATAACTGTAGAAGTTTCTCAGATTTTTGAGGGAGGAATGAGGCACTCTCTCTAGATGTCACTAAAATTCTCTGAGGAAGAATTCTGTGTATCTTGAAAACATTTCTCTCACCATCCGAAATTGGTCCCATAAAAGATACTACCTCACCCACCTTGTCTCTCTAATATCCTGGGACTGAAATAGCTACAACAATGCTGCATATAAAATTCTCTGCAGATTTCCGTTACTTTTGTTAATTGTTTTATGTTGGTCTTTTATCTGAACAGCACCACAAATATGCAGAGAGTTTTATGGACAAAAATATCTTTTTCCAGTGGTGATGTGGAGTCACGTATTTTCCCATGTTCTGCGAATCATGTGAATACTTTCCTCAACTTTTTTTTTTTTTTTTTTTTGGTGCATCTAAATAGTTAATATAGTACAGCATATATTTAAGCATTTCACTAGTCAACATCTTTCCATGGTTTGACTGTCATAGCAACTGGAAACCATTTATATTGTGTGCAACAAGTGGCTGAAATTTTTTGTTTCTAGATACCGTCAGCTTGTGTTTTGGCATTTCCTGCCTGAAATATCTGACAACCACTGGAAAAGCAATGAACTTGTTCACTAAACGTTATAGCCTAAGTGTCTGCTTTATTTCCATCTCATTTTTAGGTTTTAGAGATCTTCATGATTTTACTGCCTCATGAGGCTATCCCAGTGAGTAAAATTGACAACTGCTCAGCAGTTATTATATAGAGTCCACCTCCTTCAGGATTCTTAAGTAAGTGTTACCTGGTTTCTGTGCATCTTATCCACCAGTCCAGAATTTTCCCCTAGCATAGTCCCTTTCCTCTTCATGGATAGTCCTATAAAGAAAAGGAGTACTTGTGGCACCTTAGAGACTAACAAATTTATTAGAGCATAAGCTTTTGTGAGCTACAGCTCACTTCGCTCATGAAAGCTTATGCTCTAATAAATTTGTTAGTCTCTAAGGTGCCACAAGTACTCCTCTTCTTTTTACGGATACAGACTAACACGGCTGCTACTCTGACTCCTATAAAGGATTTTAGATTAGGTTAGATTACCTTTCTGGTAGACATGGAAAATACTTTTGGTTGTTTTGTGTGTTTAAAGCCCTCACTGTCCTGATTATGATTATCTTGGCAAGTGATTTGCTGGCTTTGCCTTGACAGGCAGGTCGGAGAGAAACTTGTGTTCTGGACTGATGGATCTGAGGCACAGAAACTAACTTCCAGGTAAGAAATTATCCTTCAATCTGTGTATGGTAGGGGTACTAGATTGAGAGTATTTGTACTTTCCTTGACTGTTCATATTATTTCCTCCCCCTTTTCCAGCATCCACTGTTAAACTGCTAACAATGATTTCTTTTCTGTTCTGCTTTGGAGGAGACAATTAAAATATGACCAGTACAGTATCTGAAATTATTCTTTCTTACAAAATACCCTATTTAGATTTTTAACACTTTTACATTGAGACTTGATATTGCCCAGCTGTATCTTACATATTTAAGGGAGCATCCATTCCCATATCAAATATCACCAATAGCAGATTGCAGGATTATAATATTAGAGAGTGATTCTAATTTTTAAAATAAAATTATAACAAGTTATTACTTGGATTACTAGTAGACCTTGTGTATTTCTTTATGGCTGCCAGTTTCATTGTATCCTTATTTCTTAATCGTTTGGTCACTCACAGACTAGCACTAGTGCTTCTTTAGTAGACTTGACTAATTTCCTGAATATCCCTGGTTATCACTCACCTAATCATTTTCCTTCTGGACGGAAGGAAAAAAACCTGAATCTAAACTGCTGTACATAGCTTGAAGGAGTATAGATCAGCCACAGTCAGCAGATTTTGTCTTTTTGCTGAACTAGGAACATATTGGAAAAACAGTGCTGTATTAGCGTTCAGATTTATGTCCTTCAAGCTTAATCCTTTTGCAATAAATCTAACTTTGTTTTAAAACAATTTATCAACTATAAACATGTAAAGAACTTAGATTTGAGAAGTTGTGGGGGGAAAAAACCCCACTTCCCTAGTTGATTGCTGGGCCTCAGTTATTAGGAAATAGAGAATGCCTTACACTTCCTCATATATAGGGTATTCCAATGGTTTGCTAGTATGGTTCTCTTTCCATTTCACTCCTCCTGCTGCAAGACACAATCTGGTGTCTCCTTCAGTTGTGTGCCTTAGCCAGAAGGTCTGGTGAGAAGCTCTCTCGAGACCTGATGCCGGGGCTGCTTTCATTTTTGAGACACACATACTCCCTATTTGTGTATTGAGTTTACAGTATGATGGTAACTCTTAAAACTGAATTTCTGCATGAACGTTCTACTGAGGTTGCAGGGGTTACTGGCTTTTTTTTAAAAAATGGAAAAAATTAAGGACCCTTTGCTTGTTTTTCCTTTAGCATTGTTATGTAAGGTTTCAATTTGTCCCTTTCTAGTTGAAAAATAATGAAAAATCAAACAAACCACAGCTTGTATCCATTGTGCTAAGCCTTGAAAATTCAAAAGATCAAACACAGCTTTTGTGTATGACTGTACTGTGAAGTGTATTTCAAGTTTTTAATTACATCTAGAATTTTGGTCTTTCAACTGTTGGGGGCTGTCTTGCTAATAAGATAGTGACATTAATGTGGTTACAGTCTTGTAGATTTCTTTAAAGCCGTGGTTTTATACACTACAACAGGGGTCAGCAACCTTTCAGAAGTGGCATGCCGAGTCTTCAGTTATTCACTCTAATTTAAGGTTTTGCGTGCCAGTAATACATTCTAATATTTTTAGAAGGTCTCTTTCTATAAGTCTATAATATATAACTAAACTATTGTTGTATTTAAAGTAAATAAGGTTTTTAAAATGTTTAAGAAGCTTCACTTAAGATCTGCATTTTAATTTAATTTTATCAGTTTAGTGTGATCTTTGGCCTTGCTTTTCCTTGCTGAGTTTTCCAATGTCTGGCACATATTTGGATACTTTAAGCTGCACACAGGCTTCTGAGAGATCAGTTGTTAACCAGCTCCGAGAGGGACAGAGGACAGATTTCATGTGTGAAAATACCTGTTCACACAAGTATGTGGATCCAAATGCTGAAAGCATTGCAAACGTAATTTTCTTCAAACAGTTAAATTTCACTGGCAGGGACGTCCAGCAGGTCAGAATAGAGGCCCCATGATCTCTCTCGGTAGCTTCAAGTGCACTCCACAGATCTCCAAACTTTGATGCCCACAATTCTGAGCTTTTTAACTGAATGAGCTGTATTTTGAAATCTTCAACACCCATCCACTGAAATACAGACAAATCCAAGTTGTTTTTGTTGAACTCTTCAGGTTTAATTAGAAAAGAAAGCATTGGGCCAAATTTCTGGAAATGTTGAAATCTGTCAGAAAGTTCTGATTCCAGTTCTTGCATGTACATTCTAATCTCAGCGTCAAACGCAGTGCACTGTTCCATGTGGCATGATAGTGATGAAAGCAGCAAATCGGGACTTAAAACTATCCCAGTACAGTGGTTCTGGAACTATTTTTAAGGTGGGGGTGCTGAGCTGCGCCCCCTCTTGCCGCTGTCTGCACCCCTCACTGCTCCAGGCTGTGGGCTGGGACCCCAGGCCGGCGGCGGAGCCCCCGGGACTGGTGGCTGGGACCCCAGGCTGGTGGATGGAACCCCAGCTGGGACTGGTGGCCAGGACCCGGGCAGTGTGAGTGCCACTGAAAATCGGCTCGTGTGCTGCAGGTTGCGTATCCCTACACTACAAAGTGACTGCAAAAATGGTATTCTGGAGTGTCATGGTTGTGTCTCAATTATTCTAGTTCAAATTTGCTTGTTAAAAGAATATTTTTTTCTGCCAGCGTTAAACTCAGAATTGGGCTCTGAGAATAAAGCTAGGTTCTTTCCTTCTCAAGCGTCGTGATCTGTAATAAAGGTACTGCAGGCTTTAGCCAAAGTACAGTTGTGCACGTTGGAGCATGATTGGATGATCAATCAAGAGTTCCTTGTGCTTTCCTTTGAAGTGCAATTCCTACAGGCTCGCTGCAGCAACCTGTAGGAGAGAGCTTTAATGTCCAGTGCTTGGATAACATGCCCAGCTTCAGGTTGTGTCCCTGATCCTGGCAAAGGTAACATCAGGGTGACAGTGTATGCATATCTGAGGGTCAGTGTTGGTGGACCTGCATTTAATTTCCTGGGCTCAACTCCACATAACGAATACCACCACCAGTTTGGTCCCCACAATTCAAGGTTGGATTTCTTTTCATTACCTTAACATCTTGGTCCTTACCTTCGAGCTCTTAATGGTTTGGGCCCAGGATACCTAAACGATTTTCTCATGCTTCAGGAACTCAATTGCTGCTGTTAAAGGCAGTGGCCTCTGCCACTGTCGTATTGTTTACTTTTAATCTTGCATCAACAATGAAAAATCCATGCTATTAGATGATAAACTTCTTTCCAATATCCGTATACAAAATGCTATCTGCTCTGTACTTAGAGTATCTTTTTTTAAACCTGCTTCTGTAAGGGCTTCATGCACCATGAAATGTGCTGTTGTTTATTTATGTAGACCTATTACTGCCTTATTGCTGTTTTTCCAGAACTTTCCCCCAAAATTTTAAAGCAAAGGTACTCATCAAATTTTTTTGAATATAGGCAACTTATTTTGCATAATTTTGATAATTTTTCAGTTTAATAATTATATGGAACTAGTCTGAGGCTTTCCTATTCCATATTTAAAAATTACTAGAGAACTTTATCATCATGACTGACATGCTATCTTGAATCCAAGTTAGCTGTATCCTTGTATAATATATTGATCCATACCTGTATTTTCATTACTCCACTACAATCACATTCCTTTATATATCCTAGATGCAGAAAATAGAGAGAGATACTGTAAACATTTTATATTGCAATGAAATGGAAGTATGATTAGACTAACTTTCTAATTTCGTTTTGACCTATCTAGAGAAGTTGGAAGTTGCACCACCATCCCCAGGACAGCTGAAACACGGTAAAAAAAAAAAAAAAAAACTTATTAAATATAGTTAATAGTTGTATATATTCTTTGATTGCTCATACTTTTAAATACTTTGTCTTATTCTCAAAACTGTTCAGATTTATTCTAACTCCTCCTTTCATTAATGGGAGCTATCTACATATTTTCCTTAGAGACTAGTGAGAGAACCTACATCTGGAGTGCACTGAGGTATTACAAAGTATCTGCAACCACCCTGCTGCTGTTTCATAATACGCTAATTGGGGAAATGACCAAATATCTTTGGTGTGTCTTATTGTCCCTAATGTCTAGTTTACCCAAACCCCAAGTATAAACTGTTACTGCATTGGAAAAGAAATTCAAAGCCAATACGGAACAGTGTATTGGTTCCAAGTTGTGTTGTTATGGTAGCATTTTTTTTGAAGCTGGAAATTTTAATGACCAATCAGGTTCTTATTCTTGTCGCTGACCTTTTGCAGTATTAGTTTTAGCTTTCTTTTATTTAGTGGTCTACTTACAGATGTTACATTATTAAGATGGTAGAGGGGTGTGTGTGTGCGTGCACATGCAGTATAAATATAGGCGTTGGATAACATTTCTGAGAATTTAGTAGTCAAGTCAGTGTGGTTATAGCACAGTGTTCTCTCCTATAGATGTAAGTTTGGGATTTGGCTAAAAATTGTAGGTGTTAAGATTCAGTGAATTTCTTTTTTGGCAGGAAGTGGTATCTGAGTAAATTATTTCTTATCCCACAGAAGTAGATTATCATGTGTGTGTGGAGCGGTGGAGGGGGACTAGAAAAAATAAAACTATTTGTATACACTGAGTAGAAATATTTTAATTTTTTAACTCCGCTTACATCTGCTTAATGTTGATCTTCCATAAACACTTTAGCAAACAGATTTACTGGCAGGAATGTTTGCCAAAGCAATTTATATTTAAGCAAATATTTCAGAATATTAATGGAAAGGAAATTTCAGATCAAAAGTATTCATGCTGTTAGTCTGCAAAGAGCTACTCGCATGCAGTGACCGAACTGAGTACGTGAAACAGTGAACAAATAAATAAAAACTTCATTTTGATCACAGATAATTCACAAACAGGGAAAAAAATCCACCCCACTCCAAATTATTCTTGACAAATTATGTGTTCAGCTCTATTTATTAACAGAATGTAAGTACCTTTTTCTTGTACATCGATGGACAAACACACTACTACACCCTTTTCCCTTTTTTAGTTGTGTAAGTTGTTTGTAGTGTTACTCGTTCAGGGATCAGTCTAAACCCTATTGAAGTTATTAGAATCTCATTGATTTCATTTGAGTTTGATCCATAGTTGGTAATACAGATCTTGAAAGGCACTGCAGTGTTTCACACTTGGTGTTTTCTATCTATATTGCCTTTCTAATGTCCTCCATGTTCAAGCATGCTAACATACCAGATGTATACAAATCACAATCCACTACACATTTTCAAATGCAGATATGAAGGGAGAGAGTTTTTACTGTCATGTAAAATAGTTCCAAAATTCCAAACTAAACCTTTAGTATTTGGGGGCAAAAAAAAAACTTATTCAAGTATGGTATTTTAGTTCCAAAATTGGATTATATCTAGGTGCCTCTACTGGATAGTATGAGTTGACTGTACCATTCACCTTTTTATTATTCTTTCAGTTTCCCTTCAATGTGAAATTAATACTCACAGGTTTTCACTCTACCCTTCTTTCTTTCTCTGTCTTCCCCTCCCCCGGTGGTTGTACTTCTGTATGTTTACAAAATAGCATAAATTTTAAAAGACCATAGATTTTTAAGATGATATTGGGGAAAAAATGTCAAATGGCAGAAACATTGGGAATATTACCAAAAAGATGTTTAAATGAGTCTATTCCCCACATTTGTTTTTTAAGTTATATGCGTTATACTTCAGTTCCCTATTTAATATTTATATTCTAGTAGCACCCAGAGTTTCTAATCAGGACTGAGGCTTCACTGAGACAGGTGCTGTATAAACACGTACAAAGACACATTCCTAGCAGAAGAGCTGGGTATGATAGCAGAAAGAAAATTGTGCTGTAATAAAAGCCTGCTTATTATTGAAGGAAGGTACTCGTGTCATAGACCATACCAAGTTACTACAATATTGAGTTATATCAAGTGGCATTTTCTTCTCTTGAACTATCAGAGGAAAGGTGAGGGGTAGAGAAAAAGGGAAGGGTTGGGAATGCAGAAAATGGAGATGAAACTCAGTTCTTCAAGCAGGGAAATGAGGAGCAGATTTAAGTGTAGAAAATGTTAGCACTGGCCAAGAAACATAAAGGAAGACATACTCCCTGATCTGAGGAGTTTACAGTCTTAAAAAAATCACAGCTCCAGGAACATGTTAAGGAAGCCAAGATAATGTAGATAATTATAGACCCTCGCAGGGTCTCGGAGTCTGGGCTCCAGCCTTAGCTCAAATGTCTACACTGATATTTTGTAACCCCACAGCCCAGGTTAGCTGAGGATAGCTGCAGCCATGCTGTGGGTCTTCTATTGCAGTGTGAGCATACCCAGTGAAAACAAAAAGGTCAGGACAACAAGTCCAAGCTATATAAAAGCAGCCGGGGAAAGACTACTGCATGTGTGTGTCTTAATTTGTCTTTTAAATCTGATATCTTGCAATTGAACAGTTGAAACTTAGATTTATTTAAATGAGTGAACTCAGCTATAGAGTCTTACTTCTTATTTTTCATTTCTTTCAGTGTTCTTCCACAATGCAATACCTTTTGTAGGGTTTGGATTCTTGGATAATGCAATTATGATTGCTGCGGTAAGTTTGTCTTTGTCTGATTTTGATAAAGGAACTGTAGTGTCTCAGATTAAATACACATAGTTTCCACTCATCACTTCTATTATGATTTCCAGAAGACTTTTTTTTCTACCATGTTGCTAACTTCAGTCCCATTTTAGTACTTCCACTGAGAATATTTTCACATTTTATTTATACAGAATATTTTCAAAATTTGTTTTTTTTTCTTTTTCAGAATAGTGATGTTCATGTCTGAAGGGGCAAAATTAAAGCTGATCTTATTTTTGCCTGGTTTGAAAAGAACTTGCTTTTTTTTCCTGCTCTTAAAGATCTGTGCAGTGTGAGCGGTCTAATGTGTGAAGAATCCTTTGTTCTGTTGACTGACACTGGCTTGCCATGTGACATTAGACATGTAATGAAACATGTCTTATTTATAAAATGGTTATAATATATACACAGCACACGGGAGTGTTGACTGACACTGGCTTGCCATGTGACATTAGACATGTAATGAAACGTCTTATTTATAAAATGGTTATAATATATACACAACACACGGGAGTATTGTCATGCTTAATGTTTGTAAAGAATGTTCGTGATTTGCTGATAAGTGGTCCTATAGATATGCTGTAAGTGCTTTTGCTGCTTTTTATTATATACAGTATTTTATTAATCTAGGTGGGTTTAATTGGAATAACACTTTCAAATATTTCTACCTAATTCATCGATTCTGTGGCCAGAAAAGATCATTTTGATCATCTAGTCTGAACATCTGTATAACACAGGCCATAGAACTTCCCCAAAATAATTCCTAAAGGCAAAATAAACTAGTGGAGTGGGAACAGGAGTAGAGGCCAAAAACTTACTTTTAATCTTGATTTTTACCACCGACCCTAGGGGGTTGGGCATGCTACTTAATCGCATTGTGTCATCTTCCTCATCTGACAAATAAGGCCCTATCTCATGTGGTGTTGAGTATACTAAACTGGGAGGAGTGGTAGATACCCTGGAGGGGAGGGATAGGATACAGAAGGACCTAGACAAATTGGAGGATTGGGCCAAAAGAAATCTGATGAGGTTCAATAAGGATAAGTGCAGGGTCCTGCACTTGGGATGGAAGAATCCAATGCACAGCTACAGACTAGGGACCGAATGGCTAGGCAGCAGTTCTGCGGAAAAGGACCTAGGGGTGACAGTGGACGAGAAGCTGGATATGAGTCAGCAGTGTGCCCTTGTTGCCAAGAAGGCCAATGGCATTTTGGGATGTATAAGTAGGGGCATAGCGAGCAGATCGAGGGACGTGATCGTTCCCCTCTATTCGACATTGGTGAGGCCTCATCTGGAGTACTGTGTCCAGTTTTGGGCCCCACACTACAAGAAGGATGTGGATAAATTGGAGAGAGTCCAGCGAAGGGCAACAAAAATGATTAGGGGTCTGGAACACATGAGTTATGAGGAGAGGCTGAGGGAGCTGGGATTGTTTAGCCTGCAGAAGAGAAGAATGAGGGGGATTTGATAGCTGCTTTCAACTACCTGAAAGGGGGTTCCAAAGAGGATGGCTCTAGACTGTTCTCAATGGTAGCAGATGACAGAACGAGGAGTAATGGTCTCAAGTTGCAGTGGGGGAGGTTTAGATTGGATATTAGGAAAAACTTTTTCACTAAGAGGGTGGTGAAACACTGGAATGCGTTACCTAGGGAGGTGGTAGAATCTCCTTAGAGGTTTTTAAGGTCCGGCTTGACAAAGCCCTGGCTGGGATGATTTAACTGGGAATTGGTCCTGCTTCAAGCAGGGGGTTGGACTAGATGACCTTCAGGGGTCCCTTCCAACCCTGAGATTCTATGATTTATTATTTTGATTAGCATTTGAAGATGTAAAAGTGTTAAAATAATTATAACATATATTAGTTTTACATTTAGCTAAGAGAATTAAAATAGGAAATTAGTGTGCTGAGATTGGGACTCCTGTTTTCTGATGTCCAGCAGATAGCCACTGTGAAACAAATATATAGTATGAAATGAATATAGGAGGTATTAAACATATGAAGCAGGGACCTGTATTTAAGGGAATGGGAAAGGCTGGAAGGAGATGTATTGATCAAGTAGAAGCTATGGTATTACCTATCTCTGTACTTCTAAATAACGAAGCAAGCAGCCGTCAGTCTGTTATGTTAAATATGAATGTTCTTAACTTATTGCTGACAAGTAATGCCTCAAATAATGACAAGACGAACTTTTATTTTCAGGGAACCCAAATAGAATTATCGATTGGAGTTGTCCTGGGAATAACTACTATGGCAGGCAAGTAAGATAAACACAATAAATGTAAACCAAAATAGCAAATTCCTTCAGTCTAGACTGAAAATAAGCCACATGGATTTGAAACAGCTGCTCTTTGTTCCATAATTGAATCTTGTTTATAGAGAAACAATTCTGTTGTTAAAAGTAAGTATTCCATATACAGTCATGGAATTTTCAGCTGAAATAGCCTCTGAAGATATTGATTGTATAAAAATCCAGTTGTGTTACTTTTTTTTTTTTTAAAAAGTGGCATTTCTGTAGGAAAGCTGTAAACCACCACAGGTCTGATTCTACAAGCTGCTATGTGCCTGCAACTCCAAATAAAGTACACAGGAGTTGAGGGAACTCACCTTGCAAAATCAGGCCCACAGTCTATAGCTGTTAAGTATGTTTAAATGATCATGTCTGTTTACCAGTATTTGCAACATGTTGTTTTAATTCTGTCATTGTTTGAAAGAAGACTCTAAAGTTCCAGTTGCAGAGAAACGGCACTTAAATGCTTACATGAAAGTAGGGATGACTTTGTCTTGTATAAATCTAGATGTAACTCTTTTGCAAAATTCTGCTTTACTACAAAATTATCAAAAGTATTTTTGTTTAACTAATTAATGGTGGCCAATACCAGATGCTTCAGTGGTAATGAACAGAACATGGCAATTATTGAGTGATCCATCCCTTGTCATCCAGTCCCAGCTTCTGGCAGTCAGAGGTTTAGAGACACTGAAGGCATGGGATTGTATCCCCAAACCATCTTAGCTAATAGCCATTGATGTATCTATCATCGATTAAACTCAACTAATTCTTTTTGAACCCAGTTATACTTTTGGCCTTCACAGCATCCCCTGGCAAAGAGTTCCATACATTGACTGTGTGTTGAATGAAGAAGTACTTCTTATGTTTAAACCTGCTGTCTGTTAATTTTATTGGGTGAACCCCTAGTTTTAGTATTTTGTGAAAGGGTAAATAACACTTCCCTGTTCACTTTCTCCACACCATTCATGATTTTTTAGATCTGTATCATTGTGGAATGCAGAGATGTATAGTTTCTCCATCTGGGTGTTCTCCTCAAATACTAGTTAATAGGACATAGAATGAGTAGTTTCCTTCTCTGTTTTTAGGAAAATACACATTAGCAACAGGAATTTAGTTATAAATCCAGTAGCATTAGCAGACCTTTTTGAATGACTTTCTTAACATGGCTAGTATAGACCTAGAAAGAGTGCTCAGTTGGAAAATGTCAAACATAAAAGCCACAAAAATGTGACTAAAAATAGTGCCATGCTTTGTAATTTGCTTTACGGAGTCCCTGTTAAAATGTGAAATATCATCAAGAAAAACTGTTGATTGAGAGGGAATTGGTGTCTGATTATGCCATGTTGATTTACTTCTGTTATGTGATATTTGTGTGTGTGTGTATATATATATAGTTATTTATTTAACTGGGAAGAAAATCTAAGTTAATTAGAACTATCCTTAAGATTAGTTTGGTAATTTAAAGCTTTTTGTTCTGCTTGCCCATACAAGATTCAATATGCATGTTGGTATACACTGACTGAATTACCAGTCTTAGACATTTTTACACCAGATCTGAAAAAGTTGTGTCTAGGCACTGCCAATGGCATTAAGTAACAGACAGGCAAAGCCTAACAGGCACTTTGGGCTTTATGGAGGCACTGTGGTGTCTTTAGTGTTTTGCAGTCCCCATGGAATGCTTTGTGACCACTCCATGTTGGATAGACTTACAACCTTTACATTGGCCAAGTGAACTGTTATATTTTGGTGCTGGGGGTATCTGTTAAACCAAACGTGTTATACCAACTATCTGAATTATCTCCTTTATTTTTACTTCTGAGATAAAGAAATAATTTAAGTTTCGAAGTTGGAGTACTTCCTGTTTACTTTCAGTGGTATGTACTCTCTCCGCACATGTGGGACAGCGGCCCAGAAGGCAAGAGGAATTGGTTTGCCTTGTGTAGACTGACTTTATCTTTTTAATGTTAATTAAATTTAAAAAAAAAATCTAACAACAAAAAAGTAAACCTACTTGCGAGTTCTGCTCTTGCAACATAAATGTTTTAAATGTGTGTAATGTAAAACATTACTCTTTCAGGCATGTATAAAATATATTTCTCAGAATAAGAGCTAGTCTACATGACCAATGCAACTGTACCACTGTAGCGCGTCTCGAAGACTCACTCTGCCTATGGGAGAGCACTAGCCTGTCGGCATAATTACTCCACCTCTATGAGAGGCAGAAGCTATGTCCATGGGATACCACTGCCTTTTACTGGAATATCTGTCATACCTAGCTATACAACTTCTGGTGCGAGTGCTGTTGCTTCTGCTAACTGACTGGAAGCCTTTTTGTGTGACTCCAACTAAGGACTCCTAGTTCCTGTGTCAGATATACAAAGTTGGCTGGTGGCTGTGGCCATTGTTAACTAAAGTCTGAAAATTTGTTATTCCATGTCCCAGAACTGAGTGATTTTCCTGAATTTAATAAATTCAAGAAAATAAGTGCACCACCTATGATGTTAAAGCTCTGCTAGATCTAGTGTTACAAATTGTGCTGCTAAAAGAAATCCTAGTGTAAGAGAAGAAACTTAATTCTGGATACTCATGCTATATATCTTAATTACTCTTTTGTCCGTGGGTTTTGTAAAATAATGCTTTCCTGTTTCTCAATTTTTCAGCTGCTGCTTTGGGAAATCTTGTTTCAGATTTAGCTGGACTCGGGTAAGTCTGCATTTTGCTTGAAGTATGTTATTGCCTGATCTCAAAAAAACAAAACAAACCCCCCCCACTCAACAAAGCTTAATACACTGTAGAAATCCCTTTGGGTGTTTCTAATTCTTGAAATGTATATTATCAAACCAGATACCCATAAAGATACCGAAATAATTGCCCTTCTCTCCTTGCTTTGCTCAGAAATAAAGCTGCATTCTTCTTCGAATTACTGCACCTGTGGCTCCCAGTTATGGTGTTCATATGCCCCAGCACAGGAGTTTTGAACATTTTCAGTAGCAGTGTCCAGGAGGGGGTTGCCTTGTATGCCCTCATTCCCCAAGTACATAAAGGGCACAGTGATCCCAACTGCCACCCAGTTCCTTCTAACTGCCTCAGCCAGCGAGTCAGAACAACTATCGGTGTGTCTACACTGCAAAGAAAAAAACACAGGGCAGCAAGTCTCACATTCTAGGTCAACTGACTCAAGCTTGCAGGGCTTGCTGTACAGGGCCAAAAATAAAAGCTAAAAATTTCTGCTTGGGCTTTGAAACCCAGCGGAGAGGTGTGGGGGACGCGAAGGGACCTAGCACTGTCTTCACAGGGGCTTAGGTCAGCTTCATAGCACTGCTCAGGGGTGTGGATGTCACACCCCTGACCAGTATAGTTAAACTGATGTGCTTTTCTAGTGTAGGCCAGGTCTCAGTTTCGCAGCATCGAATCCTGTCTCTGTGGCTGGGAGGGCAGAGGAGTTCTTCAAAGGAGCTGTTATGCCAGTGCTGAGAGTGCAGAGGAGCGCTGTTGTGCTGAAGCATAGCACAGAGCTGTGACAGAAATCTTCCTCTTCCTCTTCAGCTAAAAGATCTCAAAGGAAGAAGAATTCAGACAGTCACCTTCTTTCCTCCTCTTCAGCACAGGCTTCAGCAGCACTCTCCCTTTCAGCATCAGAGTGGTTCGGACAGTCTTCTGCAGTGCTTCCCCCGTTGGCACAGCACCTTTGATCAAAGCCCGTTCTGGGCCAGGGTTTCAGCTGCTGAGGAAACTTCAAAGCAGGGAGAGACATCTACAATACCCTCGCTGCAGGGACCTTTTTACAACTAAATTTGCAGTTCCAAAGGCTTCTTTTATGTCTTTGCCAAACCTCAGGGTCACTCCAGATCCTATGTCACCAGTCCTAGAAGTTCCCCAATCTTGATACCAAACATATCCCTTCCTCAAAACGAAGCCAGGGTACCGCTAAAGAAAATTGCTTTGAACCAGCATGTTGATACAATTAAGGATTTAAGTTCCAATCAAATCCTTCCATCTCCTGTTATGAGTTCTGCACAGGGCTTTGGAGCTGTGCTCTGGCTCTGCTCCAGCTCCAGGCAAAAAAACCTGCTGCTCCGTGCTCCCAGCTTCGGGCTCCGCTCCAAAGCCCTGGTTCTGCATTAGAAGTTTCTTCATCCAAAGATGCTGACGGGAGTCCTCCACCAAAAAGGAAATTGCATGAACGGAAAGAAAATAAGTCTTGGCAGGCATATGGAAAAGACCTTCCCATTTAACCCAAGGACGCTAATTATTACTATGCTCCTTGATTCCCTCCACTACTTTCCATATGGTCCACAACCATGGCCATATTTGGCTCTCATGGCCTCAATAGTTGCAATTTTGAGGGACAAGTTCTCCCACAGTATATGAAATCTATTCATGAGTCACCTGCTACAAACCCTATAGTCCTGATCACCCATTAAGTTAAGATGCAGAGGAACAACAAATTGTAAGTGATGGTGAAATACCAGCCCATCAGGACAATTCTTCTGATCTTCTTTCTTACCTGATGGAAACCATTTCATAGGCTACACCACTTTCAGCGGATGATTTTTAAAATCTTTGAGGAATCATTGAAGCATATGACAAAAACAATAGAATTTACTATGGTGACAGTTCAGGAAAAACAAACTTTTTGATATTCTACAGTCAGCATCCCAAAGCAGGTTTGCACTACCTATTAATGAAGGAGTATTGGATCCAACAAAAGATTTCTGGGCTACCTCTGTTTCCATTTCAGCTATTTTAAAACACACTGATCATAGATATCAGGTGCCCCCTAGGATTTGAGTATCTTTGTCACATCATCATCTCGCTTCATCACCACTGGTTGCTGCAGCCAATGAACGATCAAAACAGACTAGGAAATCTGTTCCAAAGGAGATTGGATTTTTTTTGAAAGAAAATTTACTCTTCAGCATTTTTATAGATCAGGATAGCAAATTATCAAATCATGCTGTCTAAATATGATTATATCCAGTGGGTAGACTGTCGTTTAAGGACAAATTGCACTCAGAATAGAGCTGAGTTTAAAGCTATTTGTGAAGAAGAGCAGCTTATTGCTAAAACCTCTCCAAGCTACGTTAGATGCTGCTGATTTGAGTGCTTGTTTAGTGGCTGTAGGTATCATGATGCAGTGCTCATTGTGGTTCTCTGCATCAGGTTTACCAAAAGAACTGCAAGTGACAATTGAAGATCTGCCATTTGATGGTCAGAATCTATTCAGTGCCAAGTCTTACGAATCTCTGCATTAATTAAAAGACTCAAGTTGCACACTCAGGTCATTGGGTTTATGTAATCCTTCCTTCAAAAAGAAATTAGTTTCATCCTCAATTTTCATTCTCCAGATATAGGAATGCTCAATATCCTTCTTTTTCATATTCCTGACACCAAAGGCCCTTCTGAAAAATCTAGAAAGAAATTTAGATATCAGAAGTAGTAATCAACTCCACTGCCCTCTTCTAGAATTACTCAGTTGGGTCAGACACACAGACGTCAGATTTGATGCTCTTTTACTCCACCCTTTGGTTCCCATCTATTTTATTTCCTGGAGGCTTGGTAGAAATCACCACAGATTGATGGGTCCATTAAGTAATCAGGGATGGTTATGTCATTCAGTTTCAATCCTTGCCTCCTTCCCAGTCCCTTTTCAGGGACCTTTCTTATGAGAGTGTCATGGATCAGAAAATTGACAAAACTGCTCAAGCTTGGAGCAAGAGAGTTAGTTCCTCAGCAGTATATGGGAAAAGGCTTGTATTCTCCCTGTTTCCTCATATTAAAAATAAAGGTGACTTGCGTTCAATTCAAGATCTCAGGAACCTCAACAAATTCATTTGGCATGCAAGGTTCTACATGGTAACTCTTGCTTCAGTTATCCCTGTGCTGGATCCCATAGATTAGTTCATTACCTTTGACTTACAGGACACTTATTTTCATGTATCAATCACACCCAGCACACACAAAGTATCTGTTTTATGGCTCTGGGGAGTCATTACTCATTCAGAATACTACTTTGGAATTTCATCAGTACAGAAGACATTTACAAAATTCTTGTCAGTAGTGCAGCCCATCTCCTCAGAAAAGGGTTGCATATTTACCATTCCCTAGAAGACTGGCTTGTGTAGGGGAAGTGACGAACACAGGTCATAACGGCAGCAAAGAAAGTGATTTGTTTGTTTTCATTCCTGGGTTTAAGGATCAACTTTAAAAAGTCTACTCAGATTCTGTCCCAATACATAGAGTTCATCAGAGCTCTCTTAGACTCAATAGCAGTGAGACGTTCCTCGCGCCGGACAGATTTCAAATAATAAAAAATCTGATTCTTCACTTCCATACTTACCCACAGACAACAATAAGGATATGCCTGAAGCGTCTAGGCCATATGCTTTGTGTACATTTGTAACCCCATTTGCCAGGTTACGTCTGGCTGTTTCAAGCATGGATCAAAACTGTTTACAGACCAGCAATCCACACTAAGTCAGTGAAAGTGCTGATCCTAGATCAAACTCTATTCTTGATGGAAAGGTGGATGATACATGGAAATGTATGTGCAGGAATTCCATTTGCCCCTCTGATTGCACCCAAAACTTTGATAACATATGCACCCAATATGAGCTGGGGAGAACACACAAATCAAGACTGGAGGCCATGAGTTCGAACATATCTAGAATCCACAGTTCACATAAATGTACTTGAACCAAGGGAGGTAAGATTAGCTTGCAAAGCATTTCTACCTGTCATAAAGAATTCTTAAATCCAAGTTCTGACGGACAATTCCATGGCTGCCTATTACTTAAACAGATGGAGGCACGAGGTCAGGCCTTCTTTGCCAACAAGCCATAAAACTTCGGGAATGGTGCATTCAGAATCACATAAAATTGACAGCTCTTCGTCTCCCAGAAAAGAAAAAATGGTCTGGTGGCCTCATGGAGGAGGAAAATGTACTTATCTCACAAGTGGGAAGTAAAAAAATGCAATACTAAACTGATTTTTTTCAAGTGTGGGGACTTCCCCAGATAGACTTAGTTACATCAGTTCAAAATAGGAAATGTGTGATATTTTGCTCTTGAGCAGGAAAGAATCTGGAATCTCTAACAGATGATTCATGATTTCTTGGTCACACCGTTTGATGTATGTTTTCCCTCCATTTCCACTAATTCCAAGGGTGTTAGACAATATGGCAAGAAAAGTCTTGAGTTATACAGATGGCTCTGGCTTGACCTTGCCAGTTTCGATTCTCAGATCAAATGTTACTGTCATCAGTTTATCACATTCACAGTTCTGGAAGGCCTGTTATCATAGAGTCACGGTCTGATTCTCCACCCAGCCTCTCTGCCTTTCACATCCTGGATGGTATCTGGATGTCTTCAACAGACAGAGAGCATTCTTCAGACGTACAGACCATTCTTCTTCGGAGTAGAAAATTATCCCATAGGGCTAAATACATGGCCAAATGGAAACATTTTTCTTTATGGGCAAGGTCGAAAGGCTACGCTCCATCTCAGTGTTCAGTTCCAATAATATTAGATTGCCTCTTATTTAAAGCATTCAAGACTTTATCTCTTCAATCAAATTCATTTGGCAGTGATATCTGTATTTCATTCTCCAAAAGAGGGAGATACATTTTTTTCCCCTCTCATAAATCAATGAATAGATTTATGAAAGGGCTTGTTCACATTTTTTTCCTTTTGTGAGAGAGATTGCTTCAGCATGGGACTTAAATTTAGTGCTTTCTTCACTTATGGACATCCCCACTTTGAACCTTTATCAGATTGTCCAGTTCATCTAACAGTGAAGGTAGCATTTCTGGTGCCAATTAACATCAGCTAGTAGAATAAGCATATTTCAAGCCATATGGATTAATCCTCCATGCACATTTTTTTCACATGGATAGAGTAACTGAGATTGCAGCCATATTTTATTTCCAAATTGCTATCAGATTTTCATAACAATCAGTTCACGCATTTACCAGTTTTTCCCCACAAAAGCTTCATTCTTCTCCTGCTGAATCAAAATTACGTATTTTAGATATGAGGTCCCTGTTATATTGCCTAGCTAGCACTAGATCTTTTCATAAAATGACAAGATTTTTCATTGCTTAGGATGACAAATCAAAAGGGATGGCTATTTCATCACAGACTTTCAAAATAGATATAGCACGTCTTAGAACTGCTTATATTAACAGGAAGAGACATCTGTCAAGCATTCAAACCACTCCACCAGAGCATAAGCTTCATAGATAGCAGCTTAAGTCAAGTCCTAATATAAGAAATATATATAACAGCTACCAGGTCTTTAGCTCGTACATTTACGAAACATTATTAGTTAATTACTGCTTCAAGACGTGACACCCATTTTGGTAGAGTTGTTTTGCCGTCTCTTTTCCAATAAGTCCTGGCTCTCATCTCTTAACAGATAACTGCTAGGTGATCGCTATAAGTGGGCTACTCATGTGCAGTACTGCGAAGGAGGAAGAATGGTTATTTACCTGGTAGTAACTGTGGTTCTTTGAGATTTTCTGCGCGTGTGGATCCCATGACACAGCCACCATCCCCACAGCTTAGAGTCCTATAAATGAGGATTCTGGGTGGCAAAAGGAACTGAATAGTGGTTGAGGTTGCTGTGACCTTTGTGCCTTTGGAGGGGACAGGCACAAGGGCATGCAGGTTACATGTGTGACGTCTACTGGACACTGCTAGTGAAAATGTTCCCAACCCCTGTGCTGGGGCACGTGGACCCCATAAGTGGGATCCACATGTGCAGAACGTCTTGAAGAACAACAGTTACTATGAGGTAAGTAACTGTTCTTTATCTGTTTCTTACAGTAGCTGGAATTACGATATCGTTACTCACATTGATTTCTCTTCCCGTTTCGGAATGTATTTTAGCCTTTGCTCCATTCCAAAAATATAGCAAAGTAGCTAAAGTTTAGCTTTAAAAGTTTTGCTGTATCCATTAAAAAGTATATTCACATACTTTGCAGATGATAAATAGAATTTTCACCCATTGTTGCAAACAGAACTTGCATTCACAAAACCCATTCATTTCAATGTGTTCTGTAGATGCAAATATAAAACAGTTGCCTACTGGTAAGGGTTAGAATTGTGTTTGCACAAATGTTTGTACCTGCAAAATGTGGACCCATGTATGTATGTGCATATATGTGTTTTTGTGCATGTCTAAATGGAGACTCAGTAGAGAACCAGCTGAAAACTTGACCCTAAGGACAGTTCATTAATGTTCAAGTTGCATTAATGTAATGAAATGGCCAGAAAGTGCAAAACTGTGTTCAGATTAGAGAAACATAACTAAAGTGCCATAAATCCAACATTTTAATATTTTTCATGCTAAGCTTTTTTTAGAGCAGTTCCTTAAAAATGTCCTTGATCATCTCAGCATGACATACATTCTGTGCTAGAATATGAAGTTGCCACCAGCAGCATGTAGAGTCAGTATTTGAGACTTTGGGCAAGATCTTTGGATAGCATCATATGCTGTCTTAGCCTCAGTTAGTTCAATGCTGTCTCATTCTGGAATAACAAAGCCCACAGTGAGAATCTTTTGGTGTTAGTATCTTCAAATAGCTTTTTCATATACAGGAAAAAATATGGAAGTAGTTATAAACTGTTCAGTCCTAATCTATAAACTGGACTTTATATTATAGTTTGAATAGACTCTGCATCTTTCAGTCCATCTAATGTAGTTTACTAGAGTGCCTAGACAGGTGATCTGGAACATCCCAACAATCTGCCTTCAGGCAGGTTTGTTCAGCTGGCCTGCATCTTTGGAATACACTCCTTTTTATGGAGTTTATTTCCAGAGGACTTGTGCAACCTAGAGCTCCGTAACTATTTCCTTGAGGCTTATTTGGCAGGCCAAGTCCTTCCCAAACTCATTTCCACCACCTTTACTGTGTAGCAGCCCTCTATCTGCACCTAACAATAAAAGTGAGACTAACCTCCAGGTGGATAAGTTGGTTAAAAGAGAGAGAGCTTTCCTAACTTGCATTCCTCTGCAGTGGGAAAACACTGCACTGTTAATACCAAGTGTTCCCCAGCAAGTGGCTAAAGTTCCAGGCATGCTTTGGAATATTGCCAAAGCTTTGACAAGAGGTAACAGGCTTTTAGAATCTCTACATAGAGAATTTCATGGTAATAACAATTTGCTCTTGGAAAACTGAAAAACCTGAAGAGTTGCATATAAACTAGTAATTCTTTGGAATTACTTACCTGCATTGGGAGGGGCAATCTACAAATACAGTGCCTCATACAATTTTAATATATTTTGCAAGTATTAATGTGCCTTGAGAATCACAAAAGTGGTAGAGTGGGTGAGGTAATATCTTTTATTGGACCAACCTCTGTTGGTGGAAGAGAAGCGTTCAAGCTCTGTGTCCACATGAAAGCTTGTCTTTCACCAACAGAAGTTGGTCCAATAAAAGATATTACCTCACCCACCTTGTCTGTCTAATATCTGGGGACCAACACAGCTATAATACTGCAAAAGGCTAAATGGATTAACTCTGCCAAGAACTTTTCTCTGAAACTTTTTTCTTTTTTCAGTTCCATTTTTAAAAAGGTAACTTTTGTTTGTCATGTAGTTACTGGTATGATAAGGGTTATGGTAAATATGCTGAATACTCACATTTTAATACTAATTTTTATTTTACAGTTGTACTGTTACATTTTAAGAAAAAGGTATACAAGAGGGGGGAAAGATGTCTTTAGACTCCAGACTTGAGTAGTTATCAATGGTAAATTAGTATGTGTGAGACTTTTCTGCTTTCTTTTCCACAGGAAAAAAACATATTGAACATTGATTTCTGCCTCAGCAACTGATTATTAAAGCACAAATATATGATATGATAGAATGTTCCATGAATAATTGTTGAGAGGGAAGCTCTTACATATGTACTGGATTTTTTCTAGTACTGAAAAACATTGCTAAATGATTAAATATTTTGTTCATAAAGTTACTGTAAATGTGTCAAACTACAATAATGTCCAGGTCTTATTACATGAAGTTTTGGGTTTTCTGGAAGACTTGACTAATTAGGGAGTGAATTAGTCAAAAATATGCACTTACAATGTAAATGTGAACTTTCGAGTCTGAATATTTTCTTCTATATGCCAAACTGGTGGGTGAACAGTACAGCATGCAAGAAGAAAAACTTTTCAGTATAAGTTAGTACTACTTTTGCACAAGTAATTTAACTTCAGTTGTGCATTACTCCAGCTAATATATTTTCAAATCCAAAAGCCTGAGTACTACTGACATGTGGCTCTTTTTTTAGTCTTGCAGGCTATGTTGAAGCTCTAGCTTCGAGAATGGGCCTGTCAATTCCTGATCTGACACCCAAGCAAGCAGATATGTGGCAAACGCGTCTCAGTGCACATGTGGTAAATATATTTATGTATAGTTTGTGTGTACTTTTCACTGGTAATTAGCAGGGATGGGAAGAATCCAATTTTTTTCATTTTTGCCAAATATCAAATACTTAGCTTTCAGTAGTTGGTAAATACTGAATATTGTTGTGTCAAGTTGAGGGGAAGCAGATCTGGGCTGGGGGGGGGTGGGGGAGAGGAGGGAGAGGTAGATCTGGAGTTGTGTTTGGGTGATTAGAGGCTGGCTGCAGTAGGGATAGGGGTGGAAAATAGCCACACAATCTGCATATGTCTGTGAACTCTGGCTGTGGTGGTAAGATTAGGTGGGTGTCTGTGAAGTCAGTCAACGTGATGGCTGGCAGTTCTTGTCCTTTAGAGAGTTTGGTTTTTATATTCACTGTTCGTGTCAGACTTATTAAATACTTTCTGGGAATATATCTGTAGTGTGTACAAATCTAATTCCAATCCATAATTTATATATAAATTTGGATATGAAAACACCTTTCATCTAAGTAAAATGTGCATGTTAAAGGAATATCCACCACCTAGACTTAAGATAGAAATCATTTTCAGAATTACTGGATATTCATCATCTTACAGAGAGAAAATGTTGGGTATTTTAATTTTATTAAAAATTGAAGTATTTGATATTGACTCATTAAAATGGGGGGAATTAAATTTGCCAGTTTATTTCTGTGGCAATTCATTGTGATGAAATAAATGCTACAGCTGCAAGATGAAGGAAATATCCAAGCAAAAGTTGAAAAAGTAATGTGGGAATAGTTTACCTTGGTGGAAATTAGGGTAAAAAAAATTGCAGCATTTATCTTGGAAAAGTCATTATGGAGAGCTGTGTGTTGTATGTCCTGATGTAACATCACCAGCAGCAAAAGAAGCAATGAATCCTCTAGCCTTATGTACAGGTACTAAATGTTTTCAATGGCACATTCGTCAGCCTGTAGCATTTAGGGTTTTCCTATGCTAATTGTTAATCCCAAATGTTAAAATTTTGAGAGTCCGACTCTTGGAACTTTAAACAAAGTTAACTGTTAACTCTGCTACTCTTCCTGTACATCTTTTTGTAAGATCTCATTCATTCACATAGATTCGGCTTCCATTCTCATCCCAATGACTCTCAAATCTGTCTTTCTGCTGTCTCCCTCTATCCAATTTGGCTTTACAGCATCTCTCTTTGACAACGTCTTCTGGATGTCTTAGCAGCTTAAACCTAACATGGCCAAAATTGAACTCACTATTTTTCTTCCCAAAACCTTCCCACTCAACCGTTACTTGTCACTTCACAATATTACCACATTTTTTTTGCTCCGAGATCTAACCTGCACATCACCTTTGACTACTTCTTCTCCTTTGACCTAGACATGTGGGCCCAAATCTTGTGGGTTCTTCTTCCATAACGTTTGTGAAATCTGACCTATTTCTTTGTGTACATGCAGCAAAATCTTATAGGTCCTCATCTCCCATTTTGATTACAATAATCTCCTCTTCTCTGGCCTCCCTGACACCTCCTTCACTGCCTCCCATTCCATTAAAGTGCAGCTGATAAGGTATCTTCCTTGCCTGTCATTATGACCATGTCACTCCTTTTTTGAATCCCTCCACAGTTGTCATCGTCTCCATTACAAGAAATTCAAGTTCTTGGGCTCTCTTTCAAGACCCTTCACAGTTCTGCGCTCCCTCCCACCCCCACTTATTCACACACTCTTCTTTTATTATGGTGTGTATCCCACTCCTTGTGCCTTGCCACTGTCAGCCTTGTCCACCTGCATATATATTCCTCTCCACCACTCTTTGTATGTTCCCTGACTTGGGGCAAAAAAACCCAACCCACTGAATTAATTTGACATGTTACCCTGATTGCTGTCCTTGCACATTTATATCTTTTTTTTTTTTTTTTTTGTCTTCCTATATTGTAAGCATTTCAGAACAGGGTTAGTTTCTAATTATGTGCTATTGCAGTGGCTAGCATAATAGGACCTATTTCCTGATTGGGGGTGCTACCACTGTGCAAATGTGTAGCAACTGGACTGTGAAAACCCTGGTAATTTCTCTCCATTTTTTTCCTTAGGGTAAAGCTATTGGAGTGACCATTGGCTGCCTTTTAGGAATGTTTCCTTTGTTCTTCTTTGGAGATGAAGAAAAAAAACTGGAAGAGAAAAATTAACATTTTTACAATACAAATAAAAATGTAAACTAATGTACCTCAATTATTCAATTATGCTGTCAGAATATTTAGGAATTAACTGACAGTAACAATGTATAGACCTGGGAACAAAACATTCAGCATGTTGTTTTATGGATACACTAATTTATTGTGGCTTTGTCTTATTCAGTACATCTTTTTATAAGATACCATTTAGCTTTTTATTTAAAGTAAGTTGTTGAAATGTTCTCACTTATAGTAGCAACTGACGTTTACTGATTCCCTCTCACCTTCATCCGGTAACAGGATTATTACTTACTTGCCTGCTCTGGATGTACTATGTAGGTTTTGGGTTTCCACAGCTGCTGCCTAACTTGTAAATGCATGCCAAAAAGGATCCTTTATGGTCTCATCAGGTCCTCCAATCCAGACTATCAGTGGGGCCAGTTGGCAGGTGATTTGGAATGATGTTAAGCACTTTTGCAGTTATTTTTTTCCTTTGAGCCACCATTTCACATTTCCTCAGGATAGGCCTGTTTCAGCAACCCCCCACTGTTTGGTTTGCACTCCTTCACAATTCTAGCTAATGTGGCTTACAAGCCATCCATTACATGCCATCACTTCTTGACAAGGTAAGTGTTTATAGTGGTGCCTTGTTACCAGGCTCATCCTTCAGAGTTTATACACAGTCACCCAATTTTTTTTCCCCCCGAAGCAGTATTTTGCGAGTCAAGTTTAAAGTTAGTGTGTGGAGTATACTTTCTTTCATCTAACCACCCACTCAAATATTTTACAGCACCTACTTGCAGTAAGCATAACTTTCCTCTCTTCCTGGACTTTCACCAAACTCCAGGAATTCCAGCTGAGCCCCTAGTGGAGTAATTATGTGCTCCTGGTAACTGGATCAAAATAATAACTGTGTTTTGTACAGCATAGCAGATAGGCTGAGAAGAGCTGTAGACAAGGGAGGGATGTCTTGAGATGAAACTGGAAAAGGAAAGTTCTGTTTGAGGTGATGATACATACAGGAAGTCTTTTCCAGATGAGTGCACAGGACAAAAAATGAGGTTGAATGCTTCGTGCAAAGGGTATGAACCCGTGCTGTGTTCTGTCCAAGAAAGATATGACTTGAAGATCTGTTTCAGTCGAATTAAATCGGATTCCAGTGTGGCAACTCTGGACACTTTCCAGACCTGCCAGTTCTACAGGTTTCCCTGTAGACCACAGATTTTCAAACCATGATATGGATTTGTGGGGAAAACCTCTAATATATGGGGAAATAGCCTCTGTTTGGTTGTTCTTTCCTATTCATCTGCGTCCTGGGGAACAAAAGCCAACTGGAGCTGCTACACAAGCTGATGGACAGTCTGGTCTTTAGTCTGTGGAGCACACGAGAGCTCTGCTCCACTATCTATTAGCTGGGTAAGCAAAGGCTTGAGGGCTGGTGGAGTGCTCGGCTCTTCGGTCTTAGAACTGGCTGGGGAGCTGCTGCTTTCTGCCAGCTCTGCAGTTCCCCTTGACCTCCCGCATCTGCCTATGTGCATTTGCCCTCCCATGAGTCTCTAGCATCAACCTACCCACCCTGGCCCCAGCTCCCCTCTTACCTTAGGAGTCTTCTGGGGCAGGCCCTGATGGCCTGCCCCTCCCCTCCGTAGGTCTTCATGTGGTACCTGGCTGACTCCCCATCTCTAGTCTTTCGGGAGCTGAGAACAGGGAACCCTCTGCCTCCCAAATCCCAGAGCCCCATGGCCTTTAGAGGCAGGGACATTGCCTCCCAGGCACTGAGCTCTGTTGACTTCAATCATACTAGCCAGGAGTAGCTCTACTCAGTAGTTGGGGTTTTCATACCCATCCGATGGGAAACCCCCTGTTGCTGGCAAACTCCTCCCATGGGGGTGGAACTGTCTTCAGCAGCCAGGGCTGGAGCCAGCAGAGTTTAATGCCTGCAGAGCCAGGGTGTGGATTAGGCAGTGTCCCCCACTTGACAGTCCCCCAAACACTGGAGATAGTGGGTAGCTGGTCCCTCCCAAAAGCACATAGGTGTGGGAAGCCATCGCGGGGAGGAATGGGGAGAGAGGAAAAGAATAGGGAATCATAGGCCTGGGATGTTTATCGGGAAGGATGGAACTTCCACGCCTGGGATTCCCATCCTTGCCCTGGGCTCTGTAAATGGTGAAGCCTATGGTATGCTTTCCCTCCTCTTGTGTAATGTGGGAGCTGGCTTAGTGGAGGGTTTTGTGGGTGATGGGATGACTGCATGGATTGAATTGGGTATGAGGTGCAGGGGTGTGTTTTTGTGTGTGTAATGGGTGGGTGAGGTGTTCAGCACAGGTGGGTGGAACATGCATGGGTGTGTGAAGTGAGCAGGTACAGTTGGTGGGTGTGGGGCTGCATGCATAGAACTGTGTGTATATGCAGAATGAGTGGAATGAAGGGGGGGGTTGGTGGAGGAATGAGTTGTCTGGGTAGTATATGAGTAACGACGTTGGGTAGAAAGATGGGATGGAGTGAAAGTGGGTGTGAGATGAATGCTAGATGAGATGTATGGAATGAATGTATGAAGTGGGCATGAGATGGACAAATGTATCTGAATTTATGCATATTTATGCATGTTCATACAACTATAGCTAAATTAAAATCTACTGGGTTTTTTATTTGCAAATGTTTGCAGGCATGGTTTCCTAATTTAGAAACTCAATATGATGGTCTTTCTCAGTCTTTCTGTTGAAAGCTATCTTAAGATGAATGAGTGCACATGCCAAAAATGCTTAAACAGGTGGTTTCTCTGATTAGTCAAATTCGAGGCGGGGGGGAATCAGTCTGGATTAGTGGATCTGATTTGCAGAATATAATTCACAGTTAAAACTAGACCTTTGTTTGTTACTTTTGCTGTGATGGCATTTATTGGAAAAGCAGATTTGTGGGTTTTTTCCTTTTTTGCCTTATTAATTTTACTTATTTGCAGCCCTGTATAATCTTTTATGTTTATGTGGTGAGTGATGAGTTAAGTTGCAATTACCATATTAAATATTTTTAATATTTCAGTATATGACCCATCTGTACTATAATTATAAATTCCTTATAGTTGCCTACAAAGGAGAGGATCCTCTCTATGTACAATATGGAAGAAGATACCAAAAGCAGGGTAGAGCTAGAACACTTTATTTTGGCAGCTCTGCATTCTTAGATGAGTTTTTCTAATCTATAAGAAGATAGTAACAATTACATTACATCCCATGAAACTAAGTGTTTTGTTTGCTGTTGGAAAGACTTCATTATTACAGCCCTTATTTGTTTAACATGTTTGATTAGCAGCTCGCCTTCTGGGTGGTAAATCTGATCTCCCTCTTGACCACTGCCAGAGGCCCTGCCACAGCAGTACCAGCCCTTTAATCCTAATAGATGAAGAAGGAACAAAGAAATACTATCAACTTGTTAATAAGCTTTGAGATAGTACTGATAAAGCAGTGTCTCAAAATTGCACTTTGCACAAAAAGATGACTTTTCATAAACTTTCGGTTGATATCCCCTTAATATGTAATATCAGTTCAAATGTCCCTTGTTGTAGCATAGTATAATCTTCTTTCCAGTATAAGTTTTTGTGTTTTATGAGGCACTTGGATGCTTTAAAATTGATCATCCAGGTAGTTGCCTTGTCTGGAAAGGACACTTTGATTTTCTTCCTCTGCATATGTATTCAGTTTGCAATAAGCTTTTCTTCTTTTGACAACTGTTCTTTCCTGTTTTTTTCTTTACAAAGCTATAATTAGTCCCTTTAATATTTTTTTTAAGATGGAGAACACATAAAACGCATTTTGGATAGCAATCTAACTGTATTCACAGTTATTTTGCTATGGACATGACATAATTCATCAATTTATGGGGGCCATCTAATACTCATCAAAGTGTAACATGTTGCTGAAGATAAGTACCATACTCTAATGTATAGTATTTTGCACAGAATAGTTTCAGCAGTGTTTCCCATTACAATATTGGCATTGACATTTTTAGGCAATACTCAAGCTTCTGTACTTCACTAACCGATTTAAAATTGGAACACTAACTTCATTCTCATTATTTTGAGAGCTTGCAAGAACAAATACATAGCTAAATTCAGCTGTTGTAGTAGTGCTCATTTAAAAATGACAATATTAACTCCATGTACTATTGTTTATTACCTTGTGCATGTACATTGAGTGCATTTTGTTGATACTGTATGGTAAACTATTGTTCTGCAACCAGTGTTTTTAACAAGAAAAGATGAACTAAAAGATCTTCAAAGAAGTGAATGTGATTTTGTTTTAAAACTATTGAGCCGGCCATGAAAAAGTATAATGGGCAGGCAGCACGTGGTTGGAAATAGTCTTGGGTGTCTCAGACCAGCCGTGGACAGGGAGATCATGAAGGTGACTCCCTAGGTCTCCCAGGATTTGGGAAAGGAATAGTGAATACTGTGGGTGAAATCCTGCCACCTTTGTCACCAGTGGGGAAGTTCTCACAGTTTTCAGTGGGGCTAGATGTCCCCCTGTATGTGGGATGGCTCAGCAAGGCTACAAGATTAACCCATGTACCTCAGTAGTGAGAAAATAGGGTATCTGCCTGATTCAGAATGAGGGATTTGTGCATATTCAGTATTGTGAATCTCTCAGCATGTGTTTTTAGTAAATGAACAAGGGCAATTCTGAGAACTCTGGCTCTGTTCTTAAAAACACAGATTTGAAAAGACCAAGCATATAACAGAAGAACTACCATGTTGTCCGTACAAGTTTTTTAAGAGACTTTGTTCTTACTCTATTTATTTCTATCAGTTTTGTACTGTATGTAAAATGGGCCTTTAACATTAAAAACTTGGTAGACGTGAAATTGTTTATATTCTGAAATGGTATGTCTTTCATTGTAACTTTAAATTTCATTATCAGTGTGTTTTTAACAAATGATTCAAGTGATTACTGTAGTTTGAGCAATTCCTTTTGCTTCCATTGCCCATGATAGATTCAGGGACAAGTTTTTAGAAATAACCAGCAAAAACCATGCATTTGATAGTATGGTGTGTGCCAAACTGAGAAATATCTTATTTTTTATGAATATTGTGCATACCTCGGTGTGTTTATGATGAGTTACTTGGTATAGGGTAAGATCAAAAGGGGTTGTTAGAGGAACCAAGCGGGAAAAGGAAAATAATCACCTAGATAAGGAATGTCTCAGCCAGGTTATTAGCTGTAAAGAAACAACTTATCTGGTGCCAACAAAGTTACACAGCTGCTTTGTCAAGGCTGATGAGAGAGAGAGAGAGAGAGAGAGAGAGAGATCAAAAGACTCAGTCAATTAAAGGATTTGCCCTGCTGAAAGAGATGGGGAGAGAGGATTGTCAGCAGACTGAGGCTGACACATTGATAGACTGAGACAGAGAGGGTCTATGAAGATGCGAACTAACGCTCAGAAGGGAGGTCAGGAATAAGCTGGACCTACCTCCGCTGTGCATAGAAAGGCTGTGCATCGGTAAGTCAGAATACATATAGGGCACTTTTTTGCTTTAACTGCTTTTCCTAAATGCTGAGTTCCCTTTGGCAGATAAATATTACTTTGTTTTGAAGAAGCTGTTTCAGTGTCACTACGAACTTATTCCATCACAGGCTCCTGGAGGAAGAGGGCTTACATGTGCCAACCCCAGTTGGTGCCCCTCAGGTTAACGCAGCTGATAAATGGGGCTGCAGCCCAGAGGTCAATCTGAGTGGAAAGACTGCATGGTTCCACCCAGAATGAAGTGCTGGAAGCCAGGCCTGTCGTGAGGAGAGCACTTAAGAGGGACTGAAAGGGCTCTAAAAGCGCAGCTCACCCTGTAACCGTGACACATGATCATCAAAACTTATCTTTGTATATTTCTCATTCATTGAATCATAAAAGATTAGGGTCGAAGAGACCTCAGGAGGCCATCTAGTCCAATCCCCTGCTCAAAGCAGGACTAACCCCAATTAAATCATTCCAGCCAGGGCTTTGTCAAGCCGGGCCTTAAAAACCTCTAAAGATGGAGATTCCGCCACCTCGCTAGGTAACCCACTCCAGTGCTTCGCCACCCTCCTAGTGAAATAGTTTTTCCTAATATCCAACCTAGACCTCCCCTACTGCAACTTGAGACCATTGCTCCTTGTTCTGTCATCTGCCACCACTGAGAACAGCCTAGCTAGATCCTCTTTGGAACCCCCCTTCAGGTAATTGAAGGCTGCTATCAAATTGCCCCTCATTCTTCTCTTCTGCAGACGAAATAACCCCAGTTCCCTCAGCCTCTCCTTGTAAGTCATGTGCCCCAGCCCCCTAATCATTTTTGTTGTCCTCTGCTGGACTCTCTCCAATTTGTCCATATCCCTTGTAGTGGGGGGACTAAAACTGCACACAATACTCCAGATGTGGCCTCACCAGTGCCAAATAGAGGGTAATAATCACCAGCCCAATATGCCATTACTCTTCTTGGCAACAAGGGCACACTGTTGACTCATATCCAACTTCTCGTCCACTGTAATCCCCAGGTCGTTTTCTGCAGAACTGCTTAGCCAGTCAGTCCCCAGCCTGTAGCAGTGCATGTGATTCTTGTGTCCTAAGTGCAGGACTCTGCACTTGTCCTTGTTGAACCTCATCAGATTTCTTTTGGCCCAATCCTCTAATTTGTCTAGGTCCCTCTGTATCCTATCCCTACCCTCCAGTGTATCTACCTCCCCCCCCCCCCCCAGTTTAGTATCATTCACAAACTTGCCAAGGGCGCAATCCATCCCATCATCCAGATCATTAATGAAGATCTTGAACAAAACTGGCCCCAGGACTGACCCCTGGGGCACTCCGCTTGATACCAGCTGCCAACTAGACATTGAGCCATTGATCACTACTCACTGAGCCTGACAATCTAGCCAGCTTTCTATCCACCTTATAGTCCATTCACCCAAGCCATACTTTTTTAACTTCCTGGCAAGAATACTGTGGGAAACTGTTATCAAAATCTTTGCTGAAGTCAAGATATATCACGTCCACCGCTTTCCCCATATCCACAGAGCCAGTTATCTCATCATAGAAGGCAATCAGGTTGGTCAGACATGACTTGACCTTGGTGAATCCATGTTGACTGTTCCTGATCACCTTCCTCTCCTCTAAGTGCTTCAAAATGGTTTCCTTGAGGACCTGCTTCATGATTTTTTCCAGGGACTAAGGTGAGGCTTATCAGTCTGTAGTTCCCTGGATTCTCCTTCCCTTTTTTAAAGATGGGCACTCTATTTGCCTTTTTCCAATCATCCGGGATCTCCCCTGATCACCATAAGTTTTCAAAGATAATGGCCAGTGGCTCTGCAATCACATCAGCCAACTCCCTCAGCACCCTTGGATGCATTAGATCCGGACCTGTGGACTTGTGCATGTCCAGCTTTTCTAAATAGTCCTTAACCTGTTCTTTCACCACTGAGGGTTCCTCCCCATACTGTGCTGCCCAGTGCAACAGTCTGGGAGCTGTCTGTCTGTGAAGACCAAGGCAAAAAAAGCATTGAGTACTTCAGCTTTATCCGTATCATCTGTCACTAGGTTGCCTCCCCCATTCAGTAAGGGTCCCACACTTTCCCTGACTACCTTGTTGCATGCTCGGGCAATATTTTTATACTCCTCCCTAGTCATCTGTCCAAGTTTCCATTCGTAAACTTCCTTGTATTTAAGCTCACCAAAGATTTCTCTGTTAAACCAAGCTGGTCACCTGCCATATTTGCTACTCTTTTTTCACATCAGGATGGTTTGTTCCTGCGCCCTCAATAAGGTTTCTTTAAAATACAGCCAGCTCTCCTGGACTCCTTTTCTTCTCATATACTTTTACATGAATATTCGTGTTCAAACAGCCCAAATTGTGTTCTATTAGATTAGACAGGGTAGGCCTGTTGCTCAGTGAAGGGGTGTGTGTGGGGGAAACAATAACAGAAAATGTGGAAATGGCAAAAATGTTAAATGGCTTTTTTTATTTTTCATCAAAAAGTTTAGTAGCGATTGGACATCTAACATCATGAATGCCAGTGAATACGAGGTAGGCTTAGAGGCTAAAATGGGGAAAGAACAAGTTATAAATTACTTAGACAAGTTAGATGTCTTCAAGTCACCAAGGCCTGATGAAATGCATCCTAGAATGCTCAAGGAGCTGACTGAGGAGTTATCTGAGACATTAGTGATTCTCTTCAAAAGTCATGGAAGACTGGAGATTCCAGAGGACTGGAAAAGGGCAAATATAGTGCCCATCTATAAAATTAGGACAACCTGGGGAATTACAGATCAGTCATCTTAACTTCAGTACCTGGAAAGATAATGGAACAAATAATTAAGCAATTGATTTGCAAACACTAGAGGATAAGGTGATAAGTAATTGTATGGATTTGTCAAGAACAAATCCATGTCAAACCAGCCTAATAGCTTTCTTCAACTGGGTAACAAGTCTTGTGGATGGGAGGAAGCAGTAGATGTGGTATATCTTGACTTTAGTAAGGCTTTTGATACTATCTCGCATGACCTCACAAACTAACTAGTGAAATACAACCTAGATGGAGTACTAGAATGTGGGTGCATAACTGGTTGGAAAACCATTCCCAGAGAGTAATTATCAGCGGTTTATAGTCAAGCTGGAAGGGAATGTCGAGTGGGGTCCCTCAGGGATCATTTCTGGGTCTGGTTCTGTTCAGTATCTTCATCAATGATTTAGATAATGGCTTAGAGAGTACACTTGAAAAGTTGGTGGATAATACCAAGTTGGGAGGGGTTGCAAGTGCTTTAGAGGATAGGATTAAAATTCAAAATGTTCTGGACAAACTGGAGAAATGGTCTGAAGTAAACAGGATGAAATTCAATACGGACAAATGCAAAGTACTCCACTTAGGAAGGAACAATCAGTTGCACACGTACAAAATGGGAAGTGACTGCCTAGGAAGGAGTACTGCGGAAAGGGATCTGGGGTTCATAGTGAAACATAGGCTAAATCTTTGTCAACAATGTAACACTTGCAGAAAAAGCAAACATCATTCTGGGATGTATCAGCAGAAGTGTTGTAAGCAAGACACAAGAAGTAATTCTGCTCTCTTTCACGCTGATTAGGCCTCAACTGGAGTATTGTGTCCTGGGCATCATATTTCAGGAAAGATGTGGACAAATTGGACAAAAAGTCCAGAGAAGAGCAACAAAAATGATTAAAGCTCTAGAAAACATGACCTCTGAGGGAAGATTGAAAAAGGTGGGTTTGTTTAGTCTGCACAAAAGAAGACTGAGGT